ATTAAAATAAAGCTGAAAATCTAATGTTTAATTTCTCCATATATTATTTATAAAAAGGAGGAAAATTATTGCTTTTATAAATAATCAAATTTTACATATTGGCCCGAGTAAAAATTCAATTTAATATCAGAAGCCTTGCTTTTTATTAAATAATTATTAAAATAAAAACGATCGCAAAAGGCCAATCACAGTCAGGAGGTGTGTTCATTCAAAACACATTATTAAATAATGAAATGTATAACTAAGTTTAATGGAATATTTCGATGTTTGATTTTCATTTTTAAATTTACATATAAAGATTTTTCGTTAATATTATAAAAATCAATAGAAATCAAAATAAGTAATACTTTTTTACTAAAAATTGTAGTATTTTGTTTTAACTTTACTGACATTTGGCCACATTGAATGATAAAAAAAATTTTGTTCCCTTTGAAACATATATGATTTCTTCATCTTTTCATGTTGAAAATTCTGTTACGTGTTCATTATGTAAGAAAATAATTTTGTTACATTAGTTTTGTGGTATCACAATTGTATTGCATTTTGAGTTGGTAAAAAGTCAATTCTGTTATATGCAATGTTGTCGAAATAATAATTTTTTTGAGTGTAAAATATAAGTAATCTGACTATTCTATTGAATTTAAATTCTATTATATACACTTTTCTATAAAATTACAAATCGGTTGTTTGTCATTTGAAGAATATTCATGCTTCGCACCCTTTTATGAGTTTTTTAAGATTATTATATTTTATATTTATTATTCATATTTATTTCATATTTTTAATAAAATTAACTCGTAAAGTTACATGTGTACAAAAATTGAATCTCTTCCTTCTAAAGTGTAAAATATAAGAGGACACAAGTGTTTTGAAATTTTTCAGTTTTTCTAAAAAAAAACCTAAGTATTTAAAATAATTTTTATAAATTTCGTTAGATTTTTCGTTAATTCATTCGTAAATTACGTATGTTTACAAAATTTCAGATCTCTAGCTTCTAAAATATAAAAGTAAATTGGGGGAGCACACTTTTTGCATTATATGACAATCTAGCATTTAATTTAATTTTTAGTATAAGGAATAAATTTCATTACCTTCCAAAGCTTGTTTAAAACTTGCATCAGTTTCGGAAATATTTCTTGCAATAACATTTTGTGTATTAGTTTCTGGCGCTTTCTTAAAGTTACTTGACACATTATTTTCAAGAGTTTCTGTGTTCATATTTTCCACTATAATATGAAAAAATAATTTCAAATTTTATAGAACAATTAAGTATATTTAAAATATTCAATACTTTTAATTTACGGGGAATTTGTGGTATAGCATTTAAAAAAACGATTTTTTAAACAAAATGTTCATTAGTATCAAAAAATTACTGTTCCAAAAAATTTTTGTAAAAATATGCAATAGAAAAAAGATATAGCAATTTTTATGACCGTTTTTTAACTCCCTGCAATAAATTACGAAAACATTAAGCCAGGTGCGAATTTGGGTTGGCCGCCAGAGTTTGAAGGTTGGCCCAAAGTTGGCCTAACTTTGGAAAGCGAAGTTTTGGTTGCCAGAGTTTGCCCAACTTTGGCAAGTACTAGTGCCCACAGTTGGCCCGACTTTGCAAGCCAACCATTACGTGCAGAGTTTAACCAACCGTCGGGATAACTTTGGCAACAAAGGTTGGCACAACTCATCCAAACGTAGTTTAAAAGACTTTTAGTTTCGGTTGGCCGAACTCTGGGCCACGTTTGGCCCAACAGTTGGCAAAACTCTAGAAACGCAGTTTCATTGACTTAAACTTTCTTGGACGGCCGAACTCTGGGCCACGGTTGGCCCGACGGTTGGCAAAACTTTGTGAAACGCAGTTTAATTTACTTACATTATTTTGGTCGGCCGAACTCTGGGCCACGGTTGGCCCGACGGTTGGCTAAACTTTGTGAAACGCAGTTTAATTGACTTACATTATTTTGGTCGGCCGAACTCTGGGCCACGGTTGGCCCAACGGTTGGCAAAACTTTGTAAACGCAGTTTAAATGACTTAAACTTTCTTGGTTGGCCGAACTCTGGGACACGGTTGGTCCGACTGTTGCAGCTTCAATATAAATTTTGCTTTATGCACTCCCATGTGAGCGTAGCGTAGTGGTCAGTGTATAAGTCTTCGTTGCGTTAGGTTAGGGGTTCGATCCCAGCGAGCGTTAGATATTTTCGAAAATATATGTATGAGATTGTGTTTAAGAATAATAGGTAAAGGTTATATCTGATGTTTTCGCTAATAATAACGTGTTAATTGTTTAAATAATTTAGTTTTTTAATAATTTTTTACCTTTGGCTGTTGAAGTTGGACAAACTTTGAAAATTGTGGTTGGCCCAACTTACGCATCTAAAGTTGTGCCAACTTTGGCGTCAGTCTTTGGACCAACCATTGAAATGTATAGTTGGCACAACATATGCATTTTAAGTTGGGCCAACTTCCTTATGAGTTGTGGGGCCAACCATCGTCGCCATTAGACGGTCAACCGTTATCATCTGTATGGTTGGCCCAAACTCTGGCACGAGAAGTTGGACCGACTTTGTAAAAGTTGGCCCAACCATGGGCCGACCAAAAAATTGCACCTGGGAAACGCGCTTTTCTAAAAACACACTTTTGAAAATGGGGAGACACTTTTCTCTAAATATACTGAAACAATTTTAAAATCTAAAGACCATTCAAATTTTTATCTAAAAAACGAGACAAAAATCCTCTGAAATTTTACGTTTTTATCCCTTTCTATTTTCTACGGGACACAGTGGGAAAAAATGCATGATTCTGGACATTTTTCGTACTTCTTATTTTCGTAAACAAATATAAAATTTTATTTTCTATATAAAAATGGTGAATTGAAGGTTTGAATTCGGTACTATACCTAACATATAGCTAAAAGCATGAGAAAACAATTAGTTTCATTGTAAAACAAAATATGCTCTTATGTATGGTGATGTTTATCAGCGTTGATACTGACAACATTTTTTTATCGGGATCTTTTGTCGAGAGATTGGCTGAAAATTAAAACACAATGAAATATACTGCTGTTGACACTGTCCTTGGCGCTTCTGATGTTCCAAAATTTTTTCCGTATAGAATTTTGATTTTCTATGCTCATAGAGAATTTTCAAAACGTTTAATGTTTTGGAAATTCTCTACGAGCATAGCCAATCTTACGTCCTTTTCTGGACGTTTCTGAATATACTCAAATTGCTAACCTTATCACCTTTTACAAAAAATTTTGTTAAATAATTAATTAATAATTTATATTTTCAATTTTTACTTTAAGTAGAATAATTTATACAATTTAATTGACATAAATATTTTAAAATAAAACAAGTTGCATTAAAATATTTCAAAATTCCCGCTATATATAGTGATTTTTTATCGGCGCTCATAATCTCCCGACGAAAAATTTTGATAAAAAAATGTTGTCAGTTGCAACACTGTTAGATACTCTAATTTACGATTTTCGTAAAAAAGTGTATTATAGCCAAATAGTGAATTAATTAATAACAGTTTTAGAAGTAGATTTTTTAAGATTGGGGTATAAGCTGTATTATAGTTTTGCACCCATAATCTCTACACATTTATATTTGTCCATGTTATATGAAGAAATATTTCATATTTGTACTAAATTTTGTAAACTCTACCTACAAAAGTGTAAAATAGAAGGGGATAGGGGAGACTGGGGTAAAACCAATCACTAGCGATTTGAAGCTATGAGGTTTTAGAGGTGTAAGAAAAAAACGTTTTTTGGATTTTTAAGTTTTTCGATCATTATTTTCGAGTCTTAATTTATTTGGCAATTTTTTTTGCGATTTTATGTCCTTATTCAAAGTACATATATATTTTTGTCTTATTTCAAAAAGATATAATTAAATTTATTCTGAAATGTTGAGGAATACATACTCGGGGTAAAGTCGCTCACTTAGTTTTAAATTTTAAATTTAAAATAAAATATTTTCACGTATTATATTTTAACAATAATAAAATTGATAACTTGTTAAAACCAAAACTGTAACTACATTTCATTTTCTCTTCATAAAATATAACATTTTTTAATTGATAGTTGTTATTCATGAAACCTACATTCATTATTTATTAAACCAATTTGTTGTTTATAAAATTGTTTGTATAACTCATAAATTATAAATAATAAATCATACTTAAGACGAGAATAAGACGAATTTTAATATTTAAAAAATAAAACTGTTCCATCTTGAAAAGATAATGTGAGCGGATTTACCCTGGAAAATTGTAATTTCAAAATTTGGTATATGTGTGTTAAAAAGTTTCTTCAAGTAAAACTAAAAAAGATAAATCAAAAACTTTTTTTTTTTTAGTAGAAATCATAAGCTTTTAAATGATATAAATTAACTTGGATTTAGAAAATAATTTTCTAGATTTTTACCGATCTGAAAAAAGTGAGCGGGTTGACCCCAGTCTCTCCTACACGTGATTTAAAATTATTCACTCTTTCTCAAAAAGCCCTATATAAAATAATTCCTATCAATTTCTTCATATTTTTGGTGAAATGACATATGTTCACCAAATTCCAGATGTCTAGCTTCTAAAATGTAAAAGTAAATTGGGGGAGAACACTTTTTGCATTATATAACTAAGTAGTATTTTATTTAATTTTTAATATAGAATGTAAATTTTATTACCATCCAAAGTTGACTCGAAACTTGAATCGGTTTGAGATTCAGAACTATTTTCAGTCTGTGTGTTCGTTTCTATCAAGTTTTTCAAGTGAGTACTTGGCATATTTTTTACAAGAGTTTCCGTGTTTCTATTTTCCGCTACAATATAAAAGTTCGGACAAGAAATTATGTTCGCAACATGGGCACAAAAGTGACTACGAATCAGGCGAGATTTCGGGACCGAGGCTTCGCCTCGGACGCAAAATTGTATCCTCTTAGTCTCTTAATCTCGCCATCATTGCAATCACTTATTTTGAAACCTTAATACGAAAATAAATATTTACCATCCAAAGTTGGCTGAAGACTTGAATCAGTTTGAGATACAGAACCATTTTTTTCAATGACATTCACTGGGTTAGTTTTTGGTGAGTTGTTAAAATGAGTACTTGGCTCATCATTTTCAAGAGATTCTGTATTTAAATATAATATAAATGATAATATAATAAAATATAATATAATATATATATAATATAAAAGAAATAATTTCAAATTTTAGAAAATAATTAAGTACATTAAAAATATTCAATAGGTACTGTTAATTTACAGCTATAAAATGTTCATTAGTATCATAAAATTACTGTTCCAAAACTTTTTTGAGGAAATATGCATTAGGAAAAAAGTTTTTGTTTAGGGACTTTTTGGAAATCTGCCTACAGATACCTTGGATTCCGCACTCCAAGGTTATGTAGGGTTGGTATAATGAAACAAAAGGGAAAACCCGCTGCTAGGTTGTATATTTTTTTATAATTTTGGTGCTCATTTCATGAACACTTTACTTCCACATAGAGATAATAATAATAATAGGAAAATATATGAATAACTTTTTAATACCCTACAATATAGTTATAATAGTTTAATAGTTAAACAAAAATTTTCAAACAAAAAAGTTGAGAAAATGTCATTTTCCACAATTTTTGGTTTTTAAAATACCAATAATTTCAAAATTTATTATCGAATTAGGTTCAAAAGTAGGTCAATCGACTCTACAAGTTAGTGACGATAATTTTAAAGTTACTTCTACATTTTTCAACAAAATTTTCAAAAAAGTCTTATTTTCTAAAATTTTGAATTTTTAAAAGTTTAATATCTCCGGTTAATATGGACGAAAAATGTTTAATTTGGGCTCAAAAGATGCGTCTAAAAAAACTCTACAAAATTATGGAAAAACATTTATAGATGTCCTAACATTTTTTTAAAGTTATGGGCAAAAAACGTTTTTTTGCAAAATTAAAAATCCAAAAAAAATTTAGTTAAACTTTATTAATCTATCTCAAAGTACTCTCATTTTATGTCCGCAGGTGAGATCTACAATTTAAAAAAAAATTCAACCCAAAAGATCTTGATGATTTCGAGATATTTATGAAAATGTGATGTTTACACACATACACACATACGGAATGACATTTTTTAAAAATGTCATTTTTGAACTCCTGAGGTCAAATAACATAAAGACATGTCAAAAAATCGAACTCGAAAAATGTCGGTATTACAATACTTCCTCTATGAGGAAGTAATATAAAGAAAAAATAAATAAATTAATAAATAACATAATAAATTTAATAAACTGGCGACCTACTGCCAGCCCGATCCACTAAAACCCGTAACCCTTCTTTTGGAGCCCTTTAGCATTTAATTTAATTTTTAGTATAAGAAATAAATTTCATTACCATCTAAAGCTAGTGTAAAACTTTCATCAGTTTCGGAATTATTTCTTGCAATAACATTTTGTGTATTAGTTTCTGGCGATTTCTTAAAGTTACTTAACACATCATTTTCAAGAATTTCTGTGTTCATATTTTCCACTATAATATGAAAAAATAATTTCAAATTTTATGGAACAATTAAGTATATTTAAAATATTTAATACTTTTAATTTACGGGGAATTTTGGTCAAGCATTTAAAAAAACGATTTTTTTATACAAAGTGTTCATTAGTATCAAAAAATTACTGTCCCAAAACATTTTTGTAAAAATATGCAATAGAAAAAAGTTATAGCTATTTTTATGACCGTTTCTTAACTCACTGCAATACATTACGGAAACTTTAAACTCTCTTTTCTAAAAACACATTTTTGCGGAAATGGGAAAACTCTTTTCTCTAAATATACTGAACCGATTTTAACAAAGTAACAACTTTTTTAAAAAGTTTTTTTAATGGAGAAAGAAGCTGTTTTTCAATTAAATAAAAACTGTTTTTTATGTTATCAAGATGCGTTTTTACATTATTAAGCGAGAGCGGGCGCAAAGTAATACATTCCCATGGGGTAGAGTAAGCGGGAGCAAAGTATTTTGCACCCGTTTACCATACCTGCGAGCGAGCGGAAAAGAATTTTGCTCCAGTTCTCACTTAAAAATGTCAAAACGCATCTTGATTACATAGAAATCAGTTTTTACTAAATTATACAACAACTTTTTACACCATTAAAAAGAATTCACTGCTCGTGCTCTCAATGTGATATTTTCTATGCAGTTCGGACAAGAAATTATGTTCGCAACATGGGCACAAAAGTGACTACGAATCAGGCGAGATTTCGGGACCGAGGCTTCGCCTCGGACGCAAAATTGTGTCCTCTTAGTCTCTTAATCTCGCCATCATTGCAATCACTTATTTTGAAACCTTAATACGAAAATAAATATTTACCATCCAAAGTTAGCTGAAGACTTGAATCAGTTTGAGATACAGAACCATTTTTTTCAATGACAGTCACTGGGTTAGTTTTTGGTGAGTTGTTAAAATGAGTACTTGGCACATCATTTTCAGGAGATTCTGTATTTAAATATAATATAAATGATAATATAATAAAATATAATATATAATATAATATAAAAGAAATAATTTCAAATTTTAGAAAATAATTAAGTACATTAAAAATATTCAATAGGTACTGTTAATTTACGGGGACTATCTGGTCACGGAATTGAAAAAAAAGATTTTTCTTTTTTTACTATAATACATCTATAAAATGTTCATTAGTATTATACAATTACTGTAAAACCAGAAAATATTTAAACCCTGTTTAAACAAATAGATGCGTTCTCCCAGCAAGATGCAAGGAATTAAAAAGTTTTAAAATAACTGAACCTTAGTATGATGTAGTGAAAATTAGGCAATACTTTTTAATTTAATTTCTGTCCAATACTTTTTTATACCATGATAGAACCACATTTCGTCTAAAAATGAGTACCATTTAATTCTGTTTATAAATGTCAAAAAATCTTCTCAATGCTTTTCAATATTTTAACATTCAAAATTATTACAATCTGTCATTACATTACTTTTAAATTATTCATTAGAATCGCGCTTCTGCATGGATTCAAGCAATCTTTTGGATTTTTATAATTTATAAGATATGTACATTTTCAGATTTTGAAGAAGTATTTATGCTCAGAAAAAAACTATCTGGAAAAATGTTTGTTTACCAATTTCAAATCATTTAAACGAGTCAGGGCCTAACGGAAAGCTGTTAGGCAATATAGTCGGCGAGGTCTCACATGGCCTAGAAATTTCATAGACCTTTAAACACTATTAACTAACAATTCAATAATTATTTCTTTTTAAAAATAGCAAATAAAGTCATAAGTGTTATTTTATTGTAATTAAACATTCTATGCAATGTCAACAATATTAGTATTATATTATTATACTTTTTTTGATAAAATCGTTAATTTTTTAACTACTGTTGTGGATTACAGAAGCATTGGACATAAATGATATTCAAAAGAATAATGTTTTTTAATCTTTATGTTTCCACTTATTATTGTATTTTAAAAATTATAAACATAATTTTGTAGTACTATAATTTGATAAATTATTGTGCTTTTTAGATATACCATGTGTCAAATAATCATTTAATTAAGTAGGGAATGACAAAAGTAAATGAAAGTGTCGAAATTGATAGTTTCTCTTGTGTGATATTGATTTTTTTCAGTTTATATAGTATAACTTTTTTAACGAGTCATTATATGTTTTGTGACTTATAGTAGAAGTAATTGGGAGTATAAAGAACCAAAATATCATTGAGACATTGATGTGCCTCAATTAAAGAGAAATAAATATGGTGTATCTTCAAACTTGCGAGACAACTTTTTTTAAATTTTGACAACTTAGCACTTAACTTGATATAACTTTTTTAATGCCGATTTTTCAGTATTAACCATATAACCATATACAGTAGAACCTCGATAAGTCGAAGTTGAAGTGAAACGCTGAAAACTAAAGTTAAAGAGGTTTCAACTTATAGAGGTTTTCACATACTGTTTATTTATACACAATAGCAAAGTTTCTATATGTACGTTTGTTATTATATTATTATTAACATTATTATTAATAATAATAATTTTAAATTCAATACAGGAACCACTATTTGATAACAATTGTATTATTAGCTTCAAGATATAGAGGTTGCAAAAAACATAACTTTCAAGTTATATAGGTTTCAAAGGGCCATATGCACTAACTTTGAGTTATAGAGGTTTAAAATAGGGAAGACTAGGTGGAGTTGTTACAATTTTGATAAAAACAGTTACTGTGATTAGAGTTTAACTCCAATTTGTTTGGTGAAACGATTAAATCAAAGGTATATTATCTAGTTTTAAAAGGCCATAATTGATTTAGCTCTATATCTATTATTTAATTAACTAGAATCATTTGAGTGACAGCGTGTAAATTGTAACAACTGCACAAAGCGAATGTCGGTTGTTACAATACAATACAATCTAAAAGCGCGTATTTTGTGCCTGAGGTATGAAAACAATTTTAACTCATTGTAATCTCTTCTCGTACATTATAAAAGAATATAGAAAAATTGTTAACCGTCTACACTTTTTGTGTTATATAACAATCTAGCATTTAATTTAATTTTTAGTATAAGGAATAAATTTCATTACCATCTAAAGCTAGTGTAAAACTTGCATCAGTTTCGGAATTATTTCTTGCAATGACATTTTGTGTGTTAGTTTCTGTCGATTTCAAGTTTTTTAACACGCCATTTTCAAGAGCATCTTTGTTCGTATGTTCCACTATAATATAAAAAAATAATTGCAAATTTTATAAAACAATTAAGTATATTTAAAATATTCAATACTTTTAATTTACGGGGAATTTGTGGTCAAGCAATTAAAAAACGATTTTTTTATACAAAATGTTCATTAGTATCAAAAAATTACAGTCCTAAAACATTTTTGGAAAAATATGCAATAGAAAAATGTTATAGCAATTTTTATGACCGTTTCTTAACTCCCTGCAATAAATTACGAAAACATTAAACGCGCTTTTCTTAAAACACACTTTTGAAAATGGAAATACTCTTTTCTCTAAATATACTGAACCGATTTTAAAAGAAGAATAACAATTTGATTTTTGATATAAAAATCTAGATACATTTTTATCCTCTGTTATTTTTTACGAGGGTGAATTGACCTAAAAACACAGCACTTCTTCGTTTTTTTTGAGAAAAATTTAAATAAAAAAGGAAAACATTTTTAAAAAATAGTTTTTGAGATTTGTTGTCTAGAAAAAACCTTTATGAAGTAAAATCTGTTTAAATTTTTAATTTATGTAAAATAAGTTGTCTGGAAACTGTCTCCTCAAATAAAAGGCATCTTTTAGAAGACGTCACCTACAGTTGTGAAAATGAATAAAAAAAATATTCAAAAAAATTTTTGTCATTCTCTTCTTGCAATATGGGGTCGTTCACAAACTATGTCACACTCCGAGGGATGGAGGGGTAAAAATTAGTCCGAAAAAGCGTGACGTAGTTTGTGAGCTGTATATAACAATTTCTAAAGTGATTTTATACATGAAATATAATATATTTTTTATAATAAGAATTTTAAATAAGTGTGTTTTTTGACAAATCTGCACCAGAAAGTTTCCTTATAAATATATTTGAAAATTATTGAAAATAAATAGATGTGCTCTGGTGCGGGGAAAGGGACCTTACAGTCAAGAAGTGAATTGAGCTCTCTAAATCTGAATAAGTCAAAACTCTTCCACGTTAAAAAAGTGCATATACATTTGAAATAAATAAAATTTAACTTACTCATAAGTGAAATTTCACTTATTTTAAGTGTATATGCACCTATTTTTACGTGAAAGAGTTTTGAAACATGAATAAGTGCATATGCACTTATTCAGATTTAGATGTATATGTTTATCATTTCTGATATATTATTAAGTAAATCTATTTAAATGTAAAGAAAGCCTATAACTTACGTTCAGCTATTTTATCGTTTGCCTCAAGTTGACCATTTTTATATGTTTCTAAAAATTGGACAAAATATTTTTTATTACATGTATACTGCAAAAAAATGAATTAAGTAAGTGTTGAGTTAGTCAGTTAAGTCTAATAGCTTGATAGCTAGATTGGTGGACAATTTTCCCAAAATTGCTCTAGGGAGATAAAGGGTACTTTATTGACCTGTGAGCGGTCAGTAATGTACCCTTTATCTCCCTAGGGCTAATAATAATAACCATAATACCATAATAATAATAATAATAATAATAATAATAATAATAATAATAATAATAATAATAATAATAATAATAATAATAATAATAATAATAATAATAATAATAATAATACCATAATAATTGACCCAGTTTGTACTCGGAAGGTTAAACATAGGTAGGGTAAACCAGACAGAAGTCAGCCACTTTTTAATTTTGAATAGCTATAAAACCGTACGAGATAAAAATATTTTTAAAGTTGCTAATCATTTTTAAGGTGATCGTTAACAAATCTAAACTTTTGTAATATAAAAAAAATTTTTTGACAGTTTTTGAAAGCTTTTTTAAGTGGCCGATTACTGTCGGATTCTTACATGTTTATTTTCTAATTTTTTTAACGAATAAAAAATTTTTTACGAACATGATTGGTTTAATAGTTTTGTGTGATCGTAAGGAACAACATCTCATAAAAGAATTCGAAAAAAATATGAATTGATCTTTTAAAACAGTGTTAATTAAAAAGATTGCTTTTAGGTGGCCGACTACTGTCGGATTTTTACTTTTTTTGTAAATTTGTTTAACGAATAAGAAATTTTTTTTGTAAACATGATTGGAATACTATTTTTGTAGGAACATTAGGAACAATTACTCATAAAAGGAATTTTCAAGAAATTTTAATTGTTATTTTTAAACAACATTCATTAAAAAGATTTTCTTAAGTAGCCGACTACTGTCTGGTTTAGCCTATCTCTCAAACTGTTGGAATCAGAATAGGATATCCAATGATTTAAGGAAATAATTAATAATTTGCAATATAGTATGCATTTAATTACCATCTGAACCCTGTATATAGTTCATTTGAGAATCAGACTCGAAACTTTGTGTATCAGTGTTTTCTGTTACTGTTTGTGTGTTACTGTTAAAATACGTTTCTGAAATATTTGCTGATTCTTCTTCTTCTTGAGGTTCACTGTCTCGAGTTTCTGCAAAAATATATAAAGTACATTTCTTTTTTGCTACAATAACCTTCAATGTTACATTTTACATATGAAAAACTGTAGCTAAAGTGTAAAATATTTATTTTTTAATGCCTTAAGTAAATTTCTGTTTGTAAAGTGATTACTTTACACGTTGCAATTTATTTTACGCGCTGTTTATTTTATTTAAATTTTTATTATATTTATTTGTATTTTATTTAAAAAAATGAAAATGTTTAAGATATAGTATTTTAAAATATAGTACTAAATTTTTTAACTAGAATGCGGAACTACTATTTAAGAGTAATAACTAGATAAGGTTTCACTGAGAAAAATGGAGTTTAAAAAACTGAGAATGTGCATTAAATAAATAGGACTTAATCCAGAAAAAGTATATTAATTCACTTCCATCAAGCAACGTCTGGTACAATTACTTCATAAATTTTAGACAGCCACAAGGCTACGAAACTTTTAATACTATACTGTATACCACGAAGTAGTATAAGGAGACCTCACGCCAATGCTTAGCAGCGGTAAAAATCAACACATTTTTGGGGGGTTAGAGTTATGAGTATTTGCACCACTAGCAGAGGTTGCGCCATTACGGCTGAAATGTAAACCATGACCGCCATAACATTTCATCGTATTTCACTAATTTGTAGGTTATGTTCATATACAGTAGCAGACGAAAAATTTTAAGTACAATACTTTAACCACAAAGGCGCAACGTCTGTTAGTGGTGCAATCTCTGAGATCTCTGTCCCCCTAAATGTGTGTAGATTTTTCTGTCGCGTGAGGTCTCCTTATACTACTTCGTGCTGTGTACCTGTCACATATTGTTTTATAAACGAGTATTTTACTGAGTGTATAACTCATTTTTTTTATTTCTCTGTGTATGAAAATAACTGAAAGTTCATTTACTGGTGCATTGAGCCTATTGCAAAAAAATAAATTTTTCATTCTTATGTACTATCTTCAAATTCAGTAGAAAGATTAATATGTTATTATATCAATAGACCACGGAGAAAAGGGAATAGTTGAAACGTCTATTCATGTACATGGATATCACAGCCATATTATATTGAAAAATACGGGATATTCATAATTAAGGTTGCTGCATGCATATTCTATGGCTGGCTGTATATTGTTGGAGCAGCAAAAGATCTATGGTTGGGTGATCCATAGTAATGGGAATGGGAAACAAAAAAATTTGAATCATTCAATTAATTAAATTCAATGTCATTTGAGATATTTTTTACACATATTTGTTAATTAATACACACCATTTATTGAATAACAATACCGACAGATTAGCTAAGTTGGATAGATACCTCGCTTGGCGTTCGTTTAAGGACCAAGGGTAAGTGCCCTTGGACTGCCATATTGGATCCGCCATTTTGAATTTTTAGAAATCTTGAACTAACTATGGATCTCCCAACCAAAGTTTTTATGGATGAGGCAGCCATATGTGAAAATCCATAGCATGAATTGTAAGCCCAACCATGCCTATGGATGTCACATCCATATTTGATTCAACAATATAATATGGCTCCCTCATCCATTGAATATGGAATGTGCTTCCATTCTGAAAGTTGTCTCTTCCATTGAATTAGATAACAACAATATTCTGCTCAACAATATTTTTATGGATATCTCTTCCAGACCTTTTCTTTCCGTGTAAAGCACATTTAAATCCATGTTTTTTCAAAAATTAATTAAACTTTATATATGTATTTTGTTACAAAAGTTTCATATCCTAAGCATTATTTTATAAGACTTGAATTCTGCAATTCACGTACGGTCCGTTAGGATAACTTAAAACAGTCAGGGTCAGTTTACAAAATATTTCTTTTCATTAAGGGCCGATTTCACCAACACCGATTAAAAGTTGATCAATGATTAAATCCTCAATTAACCAATCAGAATCCTTTAAACTGTCTTTAATCATTGATTAACTTTTAATCGGAAGTTGGTGAAACTGGCTCTAAGTATTAGTTTTAAATAATTAGAACATACAATTGAATGATTTAAAAAATGTAAAAAATTACGGAAAGAAAAGGTCTGGAAGAGATATCCATGAAAATATTGTTGAGCAGAATATTGTTGTGTTATCCAATTCAATGGAAGAGACAACTTTCAGAATGGAAGCACATTCCATATTCAATGGATGAGGGAGCCATATTATATTGTTGAATCAAATATGGATGTGACATCGATAGGCATGGTTGGGCTAACAATTCATGCTATGGATTTTCACATATGGCTGCCTCATCCATATAAACTTTGGTTGGGAGATCCATAGTTAGTTCAAAATTTCGATAAATGTTGCGCGCAATTCATTATCATGGCATCCATTTAAAAATGGTCGTCTCAATTTTTCCGTCGCGTCGGTTTCCTGTCACGTCTATATAATCGCGTTGTGAGTTTATTGTGTATAAATAGTGTTACAATTGTTTATTATTTATTATCGTTATTGTCTATTTGTGTTTATGTAAATTCATTTTCATGAAATATGTGTAGAGTATATAAGGAATATTATATGCTCAAATATTGTAGTTGCGTGTATAGTGTAGTGGATAGCGTTAGTGTTTAGTATGCGTTAGGTCTAGGGTTCGTGTCTCCCCCATCGGTTAATAATTTATTTCGTAAATATGCGGTTATTCAATAAGTGGTGTGTATTAATTAACAAAAATGTGTATAAAATATCTCAAGTGACATAGAATTTAATTATTTGAGTGATTCTAATTTTTTTGTTTCCCATTCCCATTACTATGGATCACCCAACCATAGATCTTTTGCTGCTCCAACAATATACAGCCAGCCATAGAATATGGATGCAGCAACCTTAACTATGGATATCCCGTATTTTTCAATATAATATGGCTGTGATATCCATGTATCTGGATGTGTCAACTATTCCTTTTTCTCCGTGTAGTAAAAGTATTCAAAGCAACATGCTTTAGAAATCTAAATATTATCGAAAATTAACTTGACTGTCTGCAGTTGCTTAAATTAATACTATACTTAGGGGTCATCCATAAATTACGTAAGACATTACGTTTAGTTAGATCTTATGAACTATAGAAAAAATAGCGCTAATGTATGTAAACTACACGGAAAGAAAAGGTCTGGAAGAGATATCCATAAAAATATTGTTGAGCAGAATTTTGTTGTGTTATCCAATTCAATGGAAGAGACAACTTTCAGAATGGAAGCACATTCCATATTCAATGGATGAGGGAGCCATATTATATTGTTAAATCAAATATGGATGTGACATCCATAGGCATGGTTGGGCTTACAATTCATGCTATGGATTTTCACATATGGCTGCCTCATCCATATAAACTTTGGTTGGGAGATCCATAGTTAGTTCAAAATTTCGATACATGTTGCGCGAAATTAATTATCATGGCATCCATTTAAAAATGGTCGTCTCAATTTGTCCGTCGCGTTGGTTTCTTGTCACGTCTATATAATCGCGTTGTGAGTTTATTGTGTATAAATAGTGTTACAATTGTTTATTATTTATTATCGTTATTGTCTATTAGTGTTTATGTAAATTCATTTTCATGAAATATGTGTAGAGTATATAAGGAATATTATATGCTCAAATATTGTAGTTGCGTGTATAGTGTAGTGGATAGCGTTAGTGTTTAGTATGCGTTAGGTCTAGGGTTCGTGTCTCCCCCATCGGTTAATAATTTATTTCGTTAATATGCGATTATTCAATAAGTGGTGTGTATTAATTAACAAAAATGTGTATAAAATATCTCAAGTGACATTGAATTTAATTAATTGAGTGATTCCAATTTTTTGTTTCCCATTTCCATTACTATGGATCACCCAACCATAGATCTTTTGCTGCTCCAACAATATACAGCCAGCCATAGAATATGGATGCAGCAACCTTAACTATGGATATCCCGTATTTTTCAATATAATATGGCTGTGATATCCATGTATCTGGATGTGTCAACTATTCCTTTTTCTCCGTGTATCTTACAAGGGGGAGGAGGGTCAAATTTTCCAAAAAAGATTTTGCGTAATTTATGGACGGCCTCTTAGGGACTGTTCATAAACTACGTCAGGCTATATTGTACTTTTTTCACTTCATAATTTTTTCTATAAATCATCACACACAGCTAATTCTACTTTCTTGTCCCTTTCCAAGGGGTGACGTAATTTATAAACAACCTCGTTTTTTAATATCTTATTTTAATACTATTATCATAGTTTTATTACCATCAAGAGTCAGGTTAATGCTTAGAAATTTTTCTACTTCAGAACTATTTGTATTTCCAGTATTATTTGACGTATTTATCAAATCTCTGCTTTTTGTTTTCGGATTCTTAGTTACTTCTATAATGTAAATCAAATAGTATTTAATTGGAAAAATCATAAAATATTATGTAATATAATTTTTTGGAAGGAATTCACTTTATTTCGCTCTACAGTAGACATGGTGTATGCACCAAGTCATTGTTTTTATCTAAGAAACATGTTTTTCAAAAGACTTATGTATGCAGAAAGTTGTAGACATTCTGCTGTTCTTAATCATCAAAACTTTGTAAAATTAAATGCCATGTGAAAATATTTCTTAAGTTAGAGTAAATTATATAAATCTTAATGAAATTAAGTAATGTTAACCTCTATTTAAATTTGCAGTATTAGTTAAATATAAGTATTGTCACTTTTATTATTAAATAATTCTTTTCGATATTTTTATAAAGCAAGTAATTACTCCAGAATGTCCACAAGTAAAAGTCGGGAGATAATCAATAGTATCTTTATATATTGAAGGAAAAATGTATCTTTCAGTAGGAATTTATCAAAGGTGGAAGAAGTTAGCATTCTCTTCGAATCAATTTTTTTAATGTTCTTAATTTGGGAGCGTTCACGAATGATGTCACGTTTTTGGCGGGAGAGGGGGGATCTCTACTAAACGTGACACAATGTATTTTTACATGTGAAATTGCGTGACAGGGAGGAGGGGGTATAAAATCCTCGAAAAATTGCATGACATCATTTGTCAACGCTCGCTTTTCAAAAAATATTCTTGAAATTAATTAATGATAATTACAATGTTATTTTCAGTGTTATAATTTTATGAACTGTAAATGAACTGTGTTTTCTAATTTTCTCATGGGCAGCGCTAGTTTTTTCTTTCAATATTTTTAGGAGCTTAAGATATTAGGAGGCTACTAAAATTAGGTCCACTTGTAATGCACATCGTTTGATCTTTTTATACTACTTCATGGTTTAAATTCAGAAATGTTTAGTTTGAAGGTAAGAACAATTGCAAAATTTTGTATTTATAATCCTTGAAATTCATCTTTTTTAGAAGTGCTTTTATAAGTGAATAAATAATAATAATAATAAATTAAAGTATAAACAAAAAAATTTTTACTTGATCTTTTTCTTGCTGGTTTTCTGTTTGTTTTTGCTTTTTCAGAGGCGTCTATATTTTTCTCTGCCCTTGTCATTTTTAGAAGATTTTCAAAGCAAAGTGTTTTAATGTTCATCATGTCTATTACAAAATAAAATCTACTTTATAAAAATTTTCATTTTTTTTCAAATTCGAATGCTTTATCATTGTCAAATATCATAAAAACTATTAAAATACACTGAGAAAAGAGAACATGACTGAGTAATGTTTAAATAGAAATGTTCCTTGTTTAAATAATTTTTGTAATTAAGTAGTTTTCTTTGCTTTATGAAAAAGAATTATGAATTTCTAAGACATTATTGACAGCTTTTTAGATAGGAATGGTTTATCCCTGGAGAGCAAAGAATATTGTTGAATTGAATATATTTACACAGGAACTATTCCTGTCAACACATTACTCAGTAAAGTTTTCTTTTTTCAGTGCATATTACCTTTATTTGGAAAATAAATATACTTCCTAATTTGTTTTTCCATAGATAATATAGCACTCTTTAATGTCAATCTAAAAAGGTAAATTAATGTTAGTTTAAAAATTAAAAACTTCATTTAGAATTCTCATATAATTATATAATTTTTTAAATATTAGTAGACTCGTTCATAAAGTTAAATACATTTTTAAAATGTACGTTAAAAATTTGAGCAAAGTGCGTTTAAATAGTGTTTTGCAAAATGTTTATTCCATGTTAATTGATGTAAGATGGAGGGAGGAGTGAATAAGCCTATGTATCTAGGAAAAGTAGAATTACGATAGAACAGATTATGTATAGATTTTTAATGAGTGAAGGAATAAGGGATGAATGATGAGAGAGAAGATGTGAGTAAAAGGGTGTTGTGGATATTCAGTAAAAGTGGAAAAAGAGAAAGATGGTTGAGTAATTTGGAAAAATAGGAAAACAGATAATAGAAAGGGGTTTTAAAGTGGAGGGCACGAAACATCGAGCACGTTTCGAGCTAGGCCAAGTTATTCGGTCTTTTGGCGCACCTCTAGAAATAGTGTTAAGGTAAATAGATTTAAGATATGTAGCAGTAATTTAAGAATTTTAAGGAGTTTAAGAGAAGAAAATACGTAATTATTTTCTAAACTAAAATCCACAAAATAAGCTTTTTGTGGGGACGTATAAATACAAAGGTTTTATGAACTTCTGATATACCGCATATGTACTGGGTTCGTGTCCAGATTGAAATGTTTAGTGTCAGACTGGGATTTCATTAGATAAGTTACTACATTATTATAGATGTAATGATTGTTAAATAAAGTAATTAAATATTACGATTTCTTATTAAGTCGAAGGAAATCATCTGTGATGACTTTATTAATAATCGGGGAAACGAGCTTGATGTCTTTATTATCCCACCATTTATATGTCGCAAGAAAATCCAAATTTTCTGTAAATAGTAAACATTTATTTATACATTGTTTTATTATATGCTAAGCAGTAAATCTTTTTCCATTGTAATATATTTAATAATTATTGTTTATTTATTTAAAAAAATGAAATAAAAAATCCCTACCTATAAATTCTCCACTACATTTGCTATTTAATAACTTTGTTCTTATAATTTGATTGACAGTTTCAATTAAATCGTTTGATCTTTCTGGTCTGGCATCAAACAGAGGAACAAAATTAGTCCCGAAAACAATATTTTTAAACACTTCATCTACAAATTTCTGTGTTTCGGGAGTCAAATTAGATTTAACTGATTCTTTTATCTCCAAAGCAGCATTCATATATTCCGATTGAGGAATAAGTGGTAGTGTTGCAAAGTAATACAAAATGTGTTCAGATATTTGTCCAATTTCAAATTTAACCCATGTTTGTATTAATATCTGTAATATGACAATGTAATCAATATTTATTAAAAATTTTTTGTAATTATACACTACCGATGGAAATTGGGCCAATGCTAACATATCGAGCAATTAAAAAACACACTCTCACAGAAAGAGTGATAACTCCGTTAAAAATTAAACTAGATGCATTTTTAAAATTTCATTGGAAAGCTTATTAAATTTTTAATAAAATGTCACTATTTTAAGTTGTTTTGCATAAATAGGAAGCGAGATATCATGTTATGAAGACAAAAAAATATTCTATTTTTTTCGAAATTTCTTACCCCGTCTTAGACTCCAGGCAAAATTTAGAAAAGTTGATGAAAAAATTGTTACTTTCACAGACTATTCCTTGTAACCTTATCTTTATATAGAGACCATGAACAGCAAAATATATTAACGGGTTCCTGACATATAACAAAAAGAGTCGGACCGTGCGAAGCAAAATTTTCCATCATCGATTTCTCTAATTCGCCGTTGAGTCAATTGCGTGGCTGTGAAAAAAGTGTCAAAAATTAATTTTACAAAGTATATTCTTACTGGGATCCATTTTTAATTTAATTTATTATATAATAATATTTAAAACGAAAATAGGAGTTCAGCTTTAATTTTGACTTCACACGCAGTTTTAATTTATTTGTTTTAATTTATTTAAGTATTTTTTTTTAAATTTCTGTGGTATGTTATTATAAATGTGTGTCATCATAATGTCCATGTTTACCAAAGTTATTTTATTTATTTAACCCCTTCGCTGTGAAGAGAAAAATCTATAAAGTGGGTCCAAAATGTTAAGAAATTTTTTGGCAACCAAAATTTGTGAGATTCAGTACACTTAAGTTTTGGGGGTCGCTGATGACGAATCTGAAGTCAGATTTTCAAAATTCAAAATGGCGGATCCAAAATAGCGGACGTATTTTTTTGAATTCATCGGATTCGCTTGAAACTTGTTACTCGGGGGTTTTCAGAGGGTCGCTGATAACGAATTTGAAGTTCATTTTTAAAAATTCAAAATGGCGGATCCAATATGGCGAACATATATTTTTTAATTTCTCGGATTAGCTTGAAACTCGTTACTGTAACTAACACGTGTAATAAATAAACGAAAGGTAAACACTTAGAAGTCGGATTAATACCTATTGTTTCTCGAATCAATTTGAGTAAATTAAATCCAATGAATATTATAAATGTAGGAGTGTCCAAAATTTTAATAAGACGAATATACGATAATAAGACGATTTTATTATAGAAAAGTTGATTAATGTAAAATATCAAAACAAAAGACGATATGCAATCTCTGCTTTTATAAAAAAAGAAAGACTCAACTTAGGTATTCATTTATTTATCATGTATTTTTTAAAAAATTCTTATTTATTTTGTTTTTTTACGATCGATTTCAAGCGTAACGACTAGTTTCAAGCGAATCCGATAAATCCAAAAAAAAACGATCGCCATATTAGATTCGTTATTTTAAAATTTTAAAAATCTAACTTCATATTCGTAATTAGCGACCTCGAAAGCTCCCGTAGTAACGAGTTTTAAGCAAATCCGAGAAATTAAAAACATGTGTTCGCCATTTTGGATCCGCCATTTTGAATTTTGAAAATCTGACTTCAGATTCGTCATCAGCGACCTGAAAAACCCGCGAGTAACGAATTTCAATCGAATCCGAGAAATTTAAAAAAATATGTCTGCCATATTGGATCCGCCATTTTGAATTTTTAAAATCTGAGCTTAGATTCGTTATCAACGACCTTGAAAACCCCCGAGTAACAAGTTTCAAGCGAATACCATGAATTCAAAAAAATACGTCCGCCATTTTTGACCCGCCATTTTAAATTTCGAAAATCTAACTTCATATTTCGAATCAGCGACTTTGAAAACCCCCGAGTAACAAGTTTTAAGCGAATCCGATGAATTCAAAAAAATATGTCCGCCATTTTGGATCCGCCATTTTGAATTTCGAAAATCTAACTTCATATTCGAAATCGGCGACCTCGAAAACCCCCGAGTAACAAGTTTCAAGCGAATTCAATAAATTAAAAAAAAAATTAGTCCGTCATCGAAATTCAAAATGGCGGATCCAAATCCGCCATTTTGAATTTCGAAAATCTAACTTCATATTCGTAACCAGCGACGTCGAAAACATTTTGATATAATTATGTTAGATATTATTTTGATATGATAATGTATGCTGCCTGAGATTTAATATAATAAAAGTATCATTCAAAACAGTCTTCTTTTGAGCAGCCATATTGGATTTTGGTTTTCGAATTTTCGAAATTTGACTTTAGATTCGGATTCAGCGTCGAAAATACCATAAGTAACGTATGTGTGACGTAAATTTACTTGTTTTTTCTGCCTTTTATCAATTTTTTTGTATGTACGTCTATAGACGTACCTCACACTGGAAGCCCACTTTCAAATGTACGTCTATAGACGTACCCTCACAGTCAAGGGGTTAACTATGATGTTAATGTTTATTTATTTATTACAAAATTGGTTTCATAATCTTTTATAGGTATGTTATTCTCAATTTAATTTTTATTATTTTATTTATTATTTTAATTAAGTAACTATTAAAAAAAATTTTTTTTTCTTTTTAAATTTTTAATTAAAATTTTTATATTTTATTTTACTTTATTCATTCTAAACTGTATTTTATTCTTTATTATAATTTCGATTTTCATTCATTTTAGTTATGACTCCAAACTCTATGTTTTCTCTGACGTTTGATGGGTGAATTTGTTTTTATTTTTTGTTGACGAATATTTATTTATTAATTTTTTGGTAAGATAACCTTTTTATTATTTATGAATGAATGTTAGATTGATTATATTTTTTTAAAATTTATATATTTTTTAAATTTTATAATTTTTTTGATTGACGAATGTTAAGTATATATTTTTTTTACATATTATTTTATATTTTTTTGTATATTATTTTATTTTATTTTTTGTATATTAGTTTATATTTTGTTGTATATTATTTATATTTTTTGTATATTAATTTATATTTTTTTGTAAAATTATTTTATATTTTTATAGACTCCCTGAAGAGGAAATCATTTAGATTTCGAAACGTTGGGGTAAACTAATTTTAAAAACTATTTGTCCGAATGGTTTCGTTTTATTCTCCTTCACTATAATAATATTTAAAAAGTGGATCCCAGTAAGAATGTACTTGGTAAAATTAATTTTAGACACTTTTTCCACAGCCACGCAATTGACTCAACGGCGAATTAGAGAAATCGATGATGGAAAATTTTGCTTCATACGGTCCGACTCTTTTTGTTATATGTCAGGAACCAGTTAATATTTTTTGCTGTTCTTGGTCTCTATTTAAAGCTTAGGTTACAAGAAACAATCTGTGAAAGTAACAATTTTTTTCATCAACTTCTCCAAATTTTGGCAGGAATCAAAGTTGGGGTAAGAAATTCCGAAAAAATAGAATTATTTTTTTGTCTTCATAACATGATATCTCGCTTCATATTTATGCAATACAACTTAAAATAGTGACATTTTATTGGAAATTTAATAATCTTTCCAATGCAATTTAAAAAAAGCATCTAGTTTCATTTTTAACGGAGTTATCACTCTTTCTGTGCGAGTGTGTTTTTTAATAGCTCGAGATGTTAGCGTTCGCACAATTTCCGTCGGTACTGTAAAATAAAATAAATTGCCAAAGAAAGTATTAGAAAAGCTCCAAATTTCTAGATATGACAGAAGCCGCTTAATTGCATAATTACCAAAATTCTTGATACCATCTTTGCTAATCGATTTTGAGGCTGTTTATTAGTATTATTATTATTTATAAAATCAATGTAATGAAGGCGATTAATCATTTCTAATCATTTTTAAAATTTAAATTAATTTGCGATGCCTCCGTAGCACTAGCATCGAGTGTTAAAGTGGAGAGAAACGAAAGCGTTCGCTCTGGGTCCGCGAATTATTGTCATTAACATCCCTGAGGTCTGAGAGTTATTATCTTTTAAATGGAAATTTACATATTTTTAAATAAGAAACGGTTGAAGAGAGAACGACAAAGAGCCATAACAAACCCCTTAAATTTTCCGGGTGTTGCTACTGGATCGAAGAGAAAGAGCGGCCAGAATACGTCATCCTTGGAAAAAGAGGTGGTTAAAAAAAACAAAGTGGGTCCGACAGGGTGCCAGAAGAAAGATGGCTACAATTGTTGGGCTAACAATGGCACAAAAGATGAATCCTCTAACGACGGTGGTCTATTACGACGGCTATCCCGATGAGGCACTTATAGAGAAGCAGCTTGGTCTATTTAGGAAGGCTATTGGGCTGCTTATTCGGAAGTTGCCGATGGAGCAGTGGCCAAAGTTTGGGTCCTTTTTTTGCTAAGGGGGAGTCTTTATCTTCATCGAAATCAACCCAGAGGCTAGAGCATGGCTCATGCAAAGTGTGGATGAGCTTAGGCCCTGGAAAGGAGAGGAGTCATACAGGTCCCTGAGAAAAAAGCGATGGCAATAGAGGCCCTCGAATTCAGGCCTCACTACCTTCTGGGGCGAATAACCTTTAAGGTTGCCATCCCGGATCGTGAAGTCTCAGTAAATTTAGTGGAGGGCGAAGGGCAAGAATATTTCACTGTTTGTAAGCTCACCGCTATTCAGATTAACTTGCATCACAGTGAAGGCGCCTCATTAGTATTGATGAGGAGCATGACTAGATTGCATACAGGCATCTCGCTAATCCAAAAACCATGGTTAGTAAGAGGTGCGATTAAGGGACTTGGAGGGGCTAGTCTCGTGTGTTTCAAAGACTGTAGAGATGCCAAGCCTAGAGCGTGCATCCTCAGTAAGGGTATCAGCCAACTGAAGTTTGTAGGTTGGTGGAGTTCTGTATAGAGAAAGGACTTCCTCTGCTACTTGGCTGTGATGCGAAATCACAACATACGGTGTGGGGGAGCTCGAAAGACAACCAAAGAGGACAAGAGTTACTGGAATACCTAGTCGAAACAGATTTGGATATTCT